GGAGAAATAGCAGCCTCTTCAATAAAAACTGCTGGGAAAACTGGTTAGCAGTCTGCAAAAAACTGAAACTAGATCCATGTATATCACCCTATACCAAGATTAACTCAAAATGGATCAAGGATCTTAATATCAGACCCCAAACTCTTAAGTTGATACAAGAAAGAGTAGGAAATACTCTGGAGTTAGTAGGTATAGGTAAGAACTTTCTCAATGAAACCCCAGCAGCACAGCAACTAAGAGATAGCATAGATAAATGGGACCTCATAAAACTAAAAAGCTTCTGTTCATCAAAAGAAATGGTCTCTAAACTGAAGAGAACACCCACAGAGTGGGAGAAAATATTTGCCAATTATACATCAGACAAAGGACTGATAACCAGAATATACAGGGAACTTAAAAAACTAAATTCTCCCAAAACTAATGAACCAATAAAGAAATGGGCATGTGAACTAAACAGAACTTTCTCAAAAGAAGAAATTCAAATGGCCAAAAAACACATGAAAAAATGCTCACCATCTCTAGCAATAAAGGAAATGCAAATTAAAACCACACTAAGATTCCACCTCACCCCTGTTAGAATAGCCATCATCAGCAACACCACCAACAACAGGTGTTGGCGAGGATGCGGGGAAAAAGGAACCCTCTTACACTGTTGGTGGGAATGTAGACTAGTACAACCACTCTGGAAAAAATTTGGAGGCTACTTAAAAAGCTGGACATCGATCTACCATTTGATCCAGCAATACCACTCTTGGGGATATACCCAAAAGACTGTTACTCCAGAGGCACCTGCACATCCATGTTTATTGCGGCACTATTCACAATAGCCAAGTTATGGAAACAGCCAAGATGCCCCAGCACAGACGAATGGATTAAGAAAATGTGGTATCTATACACAATGGAATTTTATGCAGCCATGAAGAAGAACGAAATGTTATCATTCGCTGGTAAATGGATGGAATTGGAGAACATCATTCTGAGTGAGGTTAGCCTGGCTCAAAAGACCAAAAATCGTATGTTCTCCCTCATATGTGGACATTAGATCAAGGGCAAACACAAGGGGATTGGACTTTGAGCACATGATAAAAGCGAGAGCACACAAGGGAGGGGTGAGGATAGGTAAGACACCTAAAAAACTAGCTAGCATTTGTTGCCCTTAATGCAGAGAAACTAAAGCAGATACCTTAAAGCAACTGAGGCCAATAGGAAAAGGGGACCAGGAACTAGAGAAAAGGTTAGATTAAAAAGAATTAACCTAGAAGGTAACACCCACGCACAGGAAATCAATGTGAGTCAATGCCCTGTATAGCTATCCTTATCTCAACCAGCAAAACCCCTTGTTCCTTCCTATTATTGCTTATACTCTCTCTACAACAAAATTAGAGATAAGGGCAAAATAGTTTCTGCTGGGTATTGAGGAGGGGAGCGGGAGGGGGTGGAGTGGGTGGTAAGGGAGGGGGTGGGGGCAGGGGGGAGAAATAAACCAAGCCTTGTATGCACATATGAATAATAAAAGAAAAATGAAAAAAAAATGATAAATAAAAATCTGAAATTGCATTTAAAATAGAAAAAAAAAAAAAAAAAAAAAAGAGGCCTTCTGGGGCACTCAAGGTCTCACCCCTCCACCTGACCGTGCTCTGTCATCAAGCACACTGCCATCACCCGAGCCTGAAACCCTGGTCCTCAGGTTCATGGCCCGCTCGGAGGGAAGGGACAAGACCTCAGGCAGGGATCAACTCGGCCTGATTCTGCTCTCATAGAGCAAAACACCTACTCTCTCTCTGACATTCCAATGCCTGGCACCCTCTGACCCTGACCCCAGAGGCTGGTAGGGCTACATAGACACTCTGCCCGCCCCCCAGCCCCCGACCCAACTCCCCCTATTCACAGCTCACCCACCTGGCTCTGGGAGTCCCTGGCATGCAAGGAGAACTCTTCTTCAGGTGTGATGACATGGAGGGTGCACCTAGACAGACAGAGATGACAAGTAGGCCCCAGCTCTGGCCAGAGGGTCCAGGTGGGAACCCTAGGGAGTGGGCAGGGGTTGTGGGAGTTGGGGAGGGGAGGCTGGGGTATCCACAAAGGGAGCTGCTCACCCATCCTGCCCAGGATCCACCCATACCAGCTTCAGATCAAAGGTGTGGACATTGTGGCCCTAGAAAAAGATGGGCACAGGTGTCATCACAGCCCAATGCAGGTGGCCAACCCAGACCCTGGTGGCCTCAGCATGTTCTCTTTCCACTGCAGCCCACTCCTCTCTTAGAATAGTTTCTCCATTGCCTCTCCTGCCCCAGGACCAGCCTCCCCCACCCCACGTGGCTATCAGAATGATCTTGAAACACAGCTGGCCCAGTCAGTCCCTGCTGAAAAACTCTCAGGCCCCTCTTGCCTGGAGGGCCACACAGCCACTGCTGAGCCTGCCATCTGAGACTCCACAGGCCACCACGGGCTTGTGTGCCCCTAGCCCTCACCCTTACACCAGAGTGTCACGGCCACTCCATCACTGTGCCTGCCTAAACTTGCAAACTCTCCTCACTCCAAACCTTTGTTCTTTCTACCTGGAAGGCCACCCTGCTCTGACAGTCAGATGACACATCCCTTCCTCTGGGAAGAGTCAGGCTAAGCAGGCCACTCAGTGTTCCATAGCCAGAAAAAGAGAAGCAGGAGGCCCAAACCTGAGGAGTTTGCCAGCCACAGATGAGATGAGGAATAACAGCCCAGTACAACAGCATGTGCAAAGGTCCAGGGGTGGGAAAGGGCTAGCAGTTAAGGACAGCATCTCTAGTGCATGGAAGGTGAAGGCAGAAGTAGAAGGTCCTCAAACTAAATCAGAACAAACCCCACACCAGGCTTCAGGATATAGGGTCTGGGCTGGGAAGCAGCAGCCCTGTCGGAAGGAAGTTCCAGGCTGACATTCTGAGGGCAGACACAGTGCTGTGGACATCACAAGGACTATAGGAGTTTGGTCAAAGTTACTTGCCATGTAACAACTCCCAAACCCCAGATCTGGCTCCCTCCTGCCTTTGTAATGCCGAGAGCATGGTGCTGCTTCTGTGAAGTGCTTTTTCTTGGAAGCCTGCTTGCCCCAGGCCCAGACTTTCCATCTGGGATTCTAAGGGAACTAAGCAGGATACACTTAGTCTCAATCACCTTAATTTTTAGATGAGAGATGAGGAAGCCAAGGTGAAGACATTCAAAGTGAAGTCATGCTGGGATGGGCTGAAGCCTGAACTCACCTTGGCCTTTTCCCATCGCCCCCCCTCAAGTCGGCTCCCGCTGGCTAGCCACTGCTCTCAAACCCCTGTCCCTTTTCCATGGTCTTTTCAACTTGGCTCCAGAACCCCAAGGTGTCCCTAAGATCTTGGATCAGCCCCACTCCACCTGCAGCAGGACCAGGGCATCATCAAACAGCAGCACACGATCAGCCCGCAGTGGGGTGACTGTCACAGGGATGTCCTGACTGTCCAACAAGAGCCGGTGAACAGGGGTGCAGAGCACATCCTGGTGGGGGAAGAGGGAGGCACAGGACTCAAGCACCCCTGCCCTGCATGCTGCAGGATGCCCTGTCCCCTGAGCCCCAGACACCTCCCAGAGGCCTCCCCAGTGGGCCTGTGGTGACCACCAGGTCAGTGACAGGTGCTGAAACTGCAAGATGGGGGTCATTCCTGGCCTTGCAAAGCAGGATGGTGCAGCTTCTCTCTCTGGAGGCTTCTCTGGGTCCTCTGCACACCTCAACCCTGTACCTGGGCCCGCAGGCCCCTACCCCCTCACCTGGGATTCTGCAGCTCCTGCCTCTCAACAGCAACTCTGACCCCTACCTGCTCTTCTAATGCTCTACACTGGGCCCAAAGCTATCTTTCCCTCTCAGGACCCAGAGACTCTCCTTCCTACAGGGGCAGCAGGACACACCCAGAAAGAAAATTAGTTCTGTTGACTGCTCCTTCCCAAAGCCAAGTCAGGGCTGGTCTCAGCAGACAGATGAAGATGGCTCATAGTCACCAGGTTCAGCACCAATCCCCCTTCCAGCTGGGGAAACTGAGACAAGGAACTGATAGCCAGCAGCTCAGGCTGTTCAACATGGAACCCCCTTCTCTGACCACCCCTCCAGGCTCCAACTCACCCTCAGCCTGCTGCTCAGGGTGTGCCAGAGAGCCTGTGTGGCCACAGCCTGGTCCAGCGCCTGCCCCATGAAGGACTGTAGGTTCCCAAACAGGGTGACTGCATGCATCACCATCTCCTGGGCAGGATGCCCCTGTGAGAGGAGGATGGGGCAGATGGTGAGGATCCAAGGGCATGACTGGAACCTTCCCCCACCCTGGGATAACTGTGCTGGCAGTGGCCTGGCCTCAGCTCTGGTCAGGAGGCCTAAACCTAGGCCAAAGTCTGCCCTTTTCTCTCTGACAGCTCCTCTTCTGTTGGGGAGTGGGATACTTTCGGAGAAGTTAGGACCATTTGGGGACTCCTTCAGGGTGGCCCTGAGACCCTGTGTCCTTACACCCAGGACATGCCTGCTTTGTGGGTCCCCACTGTTCCACCAGGGCACACCCATGTACTTAAGATTCCTTAGGTCAGAGTTAAGTCCTCCCCCAGGGCGCGGCTATGACCCCTCCACACACACCCCAGGGCAGTGCTGTGACCCTGGCTTGGCTGGGTCCCTCCTGAATATTGGCTGGGTTTCCTGAGCCTCTCTCCTCCCTTTGTTTCCCACAGGCTGCCTCATCTGCACACCCCCCCACCCCGCCTCAGTACCCACCTCCCCGAGGCGGTCCCTGAGGCTCAGCAGGAGGAGCACGTACTGCTGCACGTGCTGGGTGAGAGGCTGGCGGAGGGCCTGGGCCAGCGTGGTGCCCACAGAGCCCTCGGAGCTCACGCCCGATAAGAGCTGCCGCAGCGCCTTCCGCTGGCTCCGCCAGTACTCGCTGCGTGTAGGGAGTACACATCACCTTCACGCACCCCCACCCCCATGCCCAAACCCACCCTAACTGCTCCCCCAGCTCCCAGGGCCAGCCCCAGATCCCAACCCTCCTCCCTATCAGACCAGCACGGTACTGAGTTGCCTTTTTGGAGGTTTCGAAGTGCATCGTATCTTAGAAGGGAAGGGATGGCTGACTACAAATGCCCTCCAATGGGTAGGATGACCCTCCTACTCCGCCCAGAGCCACCAGCTGGTGGACGCCTGGAGTCTGCTCCAGGCTCACTGGCCCTCCCTCCCACTCTTCCAGCTGTGACACCTGCGGCTCTGGGGGTGGAGCTTCCCCAGCCCCGCCCCCATCCAGACCTCACCCAGCCCCTTCATGGGTTCCCGGCCGCAGTCCCTGCTCACCTCCTCCTCTTTGCTGCCCTCTGAAAGGCCTGTGCCACCACGCAATTCGTGTAGGAGTCGATGTACCTACAGACAGCACAGGGGACACCCTGCAGGCCCAGCCCCCACCTCCAACCTAAGCCCCTGCCCTTCTGGGGTTCCCATGACCCCACTGAGCAGCTACAGCCCAGACAGCCAGGTGGTAGCCCGGCTCTGAGCACTGGTGACTTCAAGCCCTGCCCCAGGATACAGTTGTAACTCAAAGGCTTTGTTCCCTGGGGAGTCCCAAGATTCAGGTCTTGAGTGTCTGAGCCAGGTGAACGCACAGCCCAGGTGAGCCCGCCCCAGCCCGGGTGAGCCCACCCCCAGGTGGCGCTCTGACACCACAGTAGAGCAGCAGCCCTCCTCAGAGGGTGGCCTTACTCCATGTGTGCCTTCAGGACCAGGTTAGCCCTGCGCAGCAGCAGCAAGGCCTTCAGGTTGGTGGAGGACGGGTGGCGCAGCCTCTGCCGCAGCGAATGCAGGCTCTGCTCCGTCACCAGCCACAGCTGCTGGGCGCTCCAGTGCAGCTGGCGCAGAAGCCGCAGGCATTCTCTGCCCTGGGGCTCCGAGGGCTCCGAGTCTGCAGAGAGCACAGCCACAGAGCCAGGATCACGGCAATGAAGCTGAGATGCTCCGGTCAGCATTAACGCCCCCTAGAGCTCATCACGGGGAAAGCAGGCTGTACCTGCGGCAGCGTCTTTGAGGAGTAAATACGGGTGTGTGTGCACCTCCTCACTAAGCACAGATACCCTTGATAAGTTTGGGGAACCATGTATGCTAGCTCCCCCTATAACCCTCAGAATCTGCAGAGTCACTAGTCGGTCCTTGGTCACTTCATAGATGCACAAACCGGCCCTTAGAAAAATGAACTTGCCCAAGGTCACTCACAAGTGAGACCGCAGATGGAAGGAAACCCAGGTGTCCTGCCTGCTAGTCTAGGTGCCTCGGTTGGAAGCAAGATGAGAAGTGAGGCAGGGGACTGTCTCCAGTCTGTGCCCCTCAGGGTCCTTTGGGAAGGGAGTAGCCAGCAACTGGGGGCTGGTAGTACCAGTGTTACCACTCCCACTTGGCTAAGAAAGCTATGGCTCAGAGGGTCCAATACAGTAGGACTCTTGTCACTGGGACCACACCTATGTCCCCTGCCCTGCCCCACCCCCAAGCACTTAGACTCACCATCAAAGAGCAGGGGCTTGAGGATAAGACTGTCAATGCGGGCCAAGGTGGCCAGGAAGACCTCCTCCAGCCGCAGCAGGGCTGCTTCCTCAGGGCTGCCCATGGCCAGGGTATGGGATCCAGGGCTTCCTGGGTAGGACACAGATCAGAGACAGAGAGTACTGGTCTAAGCAGGGCAGTGCCCATTCTCTCAGGCTGAGTGCCCAGAAAGCAAAGCCTGTGACCACCCACATCAAAACTGCGCAGTGAGCCTGGGTCTTCTCAAAGCAGAGTTCCTGGACTGGTCAATGCCCCCTGCTCTGTTCCCTGCCCTAGCCAACTGCTGGGGGCTGGAAGAAGTGGGAGAAGGCTCAGAACTGCAAAGGGAAGCATTCTTCTCTACCCAAAAGGGAACATGGCTCCTCTAGTGCAAATCTGGCCTGCTCGGTCCACTGCTCAAACATCTGCCATGGATCCTAAGTGCCCAGGGGACTATCTGGTCGTGCTCCAACCTAGCTGCCTTCCCACTGAGTCTCTGGTCATGGACTCGGCAGTCTTTTTGGAGAAAGGGACATGTCAGAGGAACCCAGCTTTGTTCTTGAGGCCATGGCTTAGGACTCCCTGTCACCGAACAAAGCTGGAAAGACCTGATGGAATGAAGGAAGTCTGGAGATTTCCTGCTGGTGCCATAAAGGAGGTGCAAGAAATGAAGAGGAAGAGATACCCCAGCATGCAGTGGAGGACCATGAGAGCAAAGGCTCATGGGAGTGCCAGAGCAGACTCTGAGGGTGGTTCACCAAGCAGCACCCTAACTGGCCAACATATGAGCTTGACTTTGCCTCAGTCAACCATAGGGTGCCACAGAGGACTGCTAAAAAGGTAACGGTGGGAATCCAAAGTCACACTCAGGGAAATGAAGTTGGTGACAGTTGCAGATAATGAGAAAGGTCAGCCTAGGCAGGAGTCCAGATCTTCCATGCCCTCCACAATCTGACTGAGCCTGCCAGGTGGCCATGCTGCGGCCTCTCCTCAGACAAAGCCTGTTCCAACCAGACCTTGGTGTCCTCACTTGGCAAAGTAATTCATCTGTCCAAATGACCACACCAGGGTGGAGAGTGATGGGGTCTTTTAGCCCAAGAGTCTCAGATTGCCTCTCTCCCTGGTCCTAACACTCTGAGGCTTTGGAATTAGCAGACCTGGGTGGAGTGGGAGATATCAGGGCAGCCAATGATGGGTTGGTGACACAGGTGGACCCAAAAAGACAAACATGAAGGTCTCAGCTGTCCCAACTCACCCCCAAGGAGGCATGGGGCATCACAGGCCACTGACAGAGCCTATGACTCCCTAAGGAATTGGCTCAGGAGCCAAGTGGGGCAGATGCCATAGAACTCTGGCCCAGGGCCCAAGCCCAGGCATTCCTGCCCCACCTTTCCTGCTTCCTCTGCTGCTGCTTAGGGAGGGTGAGGCTGCAGAAGGGAGAGGCAGGAAGGGGAAGCAGCTGGACATCCAGCCAAAGGATTAGTGTGTGACAAGTGTAGCCTGGGCCTGCCTGACCCTCACCCATGTTTCTAGAAACTAATGGAGTAGAAAGTCTGTCCCCACAAACTTGATCTATCTCAGTGCACAGTCCACACATCACCCCCCTCCCCCCATTCTCCAGCTCATTCTCAGCCCTGCTCCTCTCTGGGCCTCCGTCTCCTCCTCATGAGACAGGCATCAACTCCATCAGTCACACTTCAAAAGAATAACCCGTGGAGGGGAGCCTCTCAGGGAGGGGACCTCCCCACCTTCCCCAAAGCATCCTGGGACATCTCAGAGTGGGTCCTACTGAGCCAGGTTGGCAGCCACTAATTCTGGAGGCTCTCAGGTCTGTGACCCCAAAGTGATCCCCATCCCTGGGAAACTGAGTCACAATGCCCACAGAAAAGGGCAGAAGTTAAGCTTAATCAGTGAGGCTAGGAGTCTGGTTTGACAGCCCAGACTCCTAGCCTCAGGGAGGGGCCCTGTTCCCAGTCTTGGGGTTTGGGGGGGTCATCCTGAAAGTGATATAGAGGGTGTAAAGGCAGCATGAGGCCAGACACGAGTCTGCATGAGTCTGTGCGTGTTCAGAGAGAAGGAGATGTTGAAATGAGGGGGCCAGCAGGAGCACTCCCCCCAACCCCAGTCCACTACCTACCCCACACCCCTCTGGTCAAGGGCATGTCCTCCTCACCTTCTCCCTCCCTCCAATCCACTGGAGGTTCCTTAGTGACAGTCTGTACAGATGTACGGATGGGGAAACTGAGGCCCACTATCTGTAGAGCACATGCAGGACTCAGTCTCAGGCCTCTGACTCCTAGTCCTTTCTGAACTAGGTGGCTCAGAGAGGCTGAGTGACTCAGGGAGCACACAGTGAGTTCTTGGCAGGGCCCAGCCTCAAATTTATCCCCAGGCGGACATATTCACCAATCGGGTGGGGTGAGGACAGAAGTGGCCAGTTGTGGCCTGCACAGGTGAGTCAGCTACTGTCCCTGTGGCCCTCTAACTAGTAGCTGGACCTGCTCTCTCCTCTACATTCCTGGCCTCTGTCCACATTAGGTTGCTTTTGAGTCGGGTCACTGGGGCCTCACTTGCCCCATCCCAGGCTGGCCCCTCAAACCACACCCTGTCATGGCACTCACTCTGGTATTTCCTGGTCTGGACTACAGTGGAGACCTTTTCCTAGGCTGCCCTGGAGGCCCCTCAATCACCTGGCCCAGTGGACAACAGAGAGTGGGACTGCCCAGAACCTGCGTTGAGTTGTCATACCTGCCCCTCACAGTCAGCTCCTGCCTCCCCACAGCGCCCTTCCTCTGCCCCTGGGGGCTTCAAGCTTCTTGCCCTAGAAGCCTCCCCATCTCTACAGCTGCGAGTGTCCCAGCTCCCCTTCCTCTGCCTGCCTGGGCACAGCCACCGGATTTTCCCAAACTCTCGGGTCTGTCCCAGCCACCAGGCATTTGTCTACGCCGCTCCCAGGCGGGCACGCCACCTTCTCCGCTTCTCTGTCGGCCCTTCCGCCCCAAGCAGCCGGCGTCACCTCCTCCTGGCAGCCTCGCCACGGGACTGTGTGAGGCCCGGTGCGTGGCCATCTCACCCCTGCCCAGGCCAGGCCCTTAGGCACTGCGATCGCAATGTGCACCGCCCCCCACCCCGAGGTAGTGGGGCTGTTCCCCGCACGGCTCCTAAACCTGAGCCGGATGACCACGGGATAAGAAGGACAATGTCAGGAACCCGGCTGGGACCGTGGGGATCCTCCGATAAACTCTGGACGGGCTCGGGCGGGAGTGTTCGCTGGGGACCTCGGTGCGGTCTCGGCGGCCGTGAGGTGCGGAGACCGAAGCCCCCACCTGGCTGCCAGGAGCTTGGGGCAGCGGACCGCGCCCACCCGCGCACTCCCTTACCTGCGCGGTGCGGCGCCGGGGAGAAACAGCCCGAGCGGGTCCCTGCAGCCGCCGCCCGCACCCCGCCGCGAGGCTCTGCGCCCGCCCCGCCCCGCCCCGCCCCGCCCCTCTCGGTAGGCCCCGCCCACCCCGGGGCTTGCTCCGGTGGGGGCTCCTCGGAGTAGGCGGGGCGCGGGCCCGCAGTCTTTCGCCACCGCCGGGCTCCCAAGGCTCCTGGGAGCCAGAGCGAGGCCGAAGTAGGTGGCACCGGGGCTCGCCGCGCTCATGCACCCCGCGTTCACACCCTGGCTTGCCCCTCCCCGTCCCTTCCCCGCCAGGCTCTGAGGACAGCAGGCAGGGTCCGGGAGGCGACCTCGATTTCCTCTCTCACTGATTCTGACGCTCTGCGGCCCCAGAGTGGAGGGGCCTTGACCTTGTCGGCCCTAGCCGAGCACTGGGTGAATTCGTGAAACTTGAAGCCGAGAGGGGTCAACCGAGACGCCCACGGTCCCAGGGCTGGGCGTCCAGGGTGGTAGCCGGTCTTGTCTGTGTGACCTTGAGGAAGGCCCCTGTCCCCCACTCCTGGTACAGCCTGAAACCAACCAGCTTCCTGAGCCAAGGCCTGCGACCTTGGAAAGGGTATCTGAATACTAGTACCAGATGACCTTCCCAGAGGAGGAGGGACCATGATTCAAACCTGTAACAAAGAAGCCTGCTGTGTGCAGCCAGGTCCCCACTTAGCGCTTCTGGTGGCACCCAGGCTCCAGGGGCTGACCATCCTTATTGAGCTTGTGCTCCTTTCAGGACTAAGGAGGTTGGGAAGAGGCCCCAGGTCCAGAGGAAGCCTATGAAAGAGCAGCAAGGGTGGCCCACCTGCCCCAAACTCCAGTCCAAGGCAGTGGCACCCGGCACCCTCCCCTCAATCTTGCCAGGTGGGAGAAAGACCCCCCCCCCCCCCGTGGAGTTAACCCATGGCCTGAGGCCTGGCAACCTCAGTGGCTCTGGCTCTCTAGGGATGTCACCTGGAGAGAGCTTGAGTTCTGCCAAGCTGTCTTACATCCCCAGACTTGGAGAGTTTACAGCCCTGGACCCCTGCTCTGGGTTACCTGCCTCCAAAGTCTTCTCTGCGGGGACCCCATGTGACTGTAAAGCAATGGGAGTCAGAGTGCTCTGGAAAGAGGCCTGGTGTGGGAGCCTTGTGCTACCATCCTCTTGCTGTGTGACCCTGGGCAATGTGCTACTGTCTGAGTCCAGTTCCCCTGTTGTAAACTGGTCATACCTGCATCTCCTTCACTAGAGTTATGTAGGACTCTGTCAAAGGGAACATGGTGGGTTTGAAGGACTCCTTCAAAAATCTGTAGGGTTTTAGCAGATCTTAGATCCTCTGCGACATGGATGCAGGCAGGCAGGGGTCTCTGGAGAGTGGTCATGACCTCGTGAGAAGTGGGTGATACTGAGGCATGTGGGGCAGGGCTCTGAGCAAGACAGATCTGGTTTTGTGCCTGATGCTGTGAGCCCAACCCTTCCTCTCTCTGGGCCTCAGTTTCCTCATGCGTGCATGTATCTGAGGGGAGGCAGTGCTGTGCTGCCTGGCTTACCCAGGAAGAGAAGGGCTCTCCAGTTTCCTCCCATCGAGGGGGATTGGAAGGCTGACTGAGTTCTGGACTAGGGACCAGTGATCCCCCACTCACTGGGCAACCTCACAGGCATCACAACTGGGTTTTATTATCTGCTAAATGGGGCAAGACTGCC